AAGACTGGAGGGAAACAGGGTCCAGGGAGCTGGAGGGGGCTCTCAGGCCAAAGAGGGGCAACCACAGCTCCCACCCAAACCCTGACCCACCTGTGCAGAGGCCTGCCTCCCCCACCATCCCACCCTTACCTCCACTTCCCAGGGACCCTCTTCTGCCATCATCCCCTGCCTGCCCTCACACCTGCGCCAACAGCACCCAAGGCTGCTCCCCGGAAACCCAGGGCTGGGTGTGCACCACCCGCCTGCCTCAGCCCCTCATTATGGCTCAGGGCAAAACTATGCCTGGCACGGAGGCTGGCAATAACCTGCGTGCCAGGGCTGGAATGAGAGCACCTCCAGCCCCACATCACCCCCATCCTCTGTGGTTCCCCCCCAGCCACAGGGACAGCGGCACAGAAACGGCACTCACCTTTATGCTTTAATAAAACTAGGAGAGTCAAAAAGAAAACCTGAAAAAAGGGATTAGACCAAGATCCGGCAGTGGCCTTGTCCCACCACAGCAAGGACTGGCCAGGTCCCAGTATTTGCTTCCTGCAGCCCAGGGGGGCACCAGGGCGGACACTCTGCTCTCCAGCCCTGCAGTGAGGTGGGGCTGCTCCCCTTGAGGTTTTATAGCTGGTGATGTCCCCTCAGGGCCACAGGGACGGGACAGACCCTGAGCAAAGGGGAGTGTGAGCAATGCCTCCAGCTCACGGTGAGCAATGGTGCCACAGGGGCCCGGTGCCCACTCCCCAGAGTGTCCCACAGTTCTGGGGCCAGAGCCATCCCAGCCTTCTACACTTTTCTACCCTCACTGCCTCCATCCCAGACAGGATAGAGCCCAGACCCTCACCCATGACAGGGGTTTCCCACCATGTGTCCCTCTGCATGGTTCTCTTGCACTGTCCCTCCCACCAGTGGCAGCCCAGGATTTCAGCTCCATTTTAGCCACAACTGAACAACTTGACCCAGGCCCAGAGATCCCCAAGTCCCAGGGCAGAAGGTGACTACTCCCCTTCACCCAGCCCACGCTGATTCTGCTCCGTCCTCCCTTGCTTCCAGCACACAGCAACAGTACAGTGGTCAATGTTTGTCAAAGCACCCTCCCTTGGCTGCTCTTCTCTGGGATCCGCTCCTCCCTCTTCTCATAGTGACCCCATGTCTCAGAGACTGGTGGCCAAGAGGCTTCTTCATACAGGAGGAGAAAGGGCCACTGCGGTACGTGGCCACTGCTCCCAGGGGAGAGGAGCTGGTGCACACCAGCCGCATGCTCTCAGCACCAGTCCCTGTTTTTACAGATGGACCAGGAGACCTGCCAGGTTCACGAGTTCTTGGAGGCTCCCGAGCCTCCCTCTGGAGCTTGCTTGGCTGAAGGCACTTTCTCCTCCTTCATCTTCTTCAGCCTGACCTTGCTTTTGCCAGAGGACGAGAAGGTGAGCGAGGCCTTGCTGAACTCCAGGGGGAAGACACCCACGTCCCCATCGAAGCGGTTCTTGGACACCTGCAGATAGCGCTTCCCCGGCCCAGTCACCAGCTTACGGTCCTGCAGGATGAGGACGTTGTCGGCCTCCTGGCTGGCCTGGGTGGAAGAAAATATCTCCAGGAGGGTGCCAGGGATGCAGCCAGAGTCACAGGGCATCCCAGGCCATGGCGACTCCAGCACATCCCCAACACCAACCCCTCCCCTTCCCCCAGGACACCCCGGGACCTGCTGGGTAGACAGGTTTAAGCCCAAGTCACAGCTTGCCCCAGGGAAACCAGGGGGCACAGAAGGGCTGTGCACACTCGCAGAGCACGTCCTGCCCACCACTGCAGGGCCCCTCAGCATCACAGCAGAGACTGGAGCACTCAGAAAGCCCATCCCTGCACCCTCCCCAGCTCCTGCTTCAATTATCTCACCCTACATTCCACTCACAGTCAATGAGCATTAATTAACTGCACCTAATGCCCCAACAGAGCTGTAGCTGGCCAAGAGTTTGCTCCCCGTCTGCATCTCCGCACCAGCACCCAGCCAGTAC